TATTTTTTTAAAAGATTTTTAAATTTATTTATTTGAGAGAGAGAGAGACAAAGATAGTGACAGAGAGCACAAGGGAGGGAGGTGAGCGAGCACACGAGTGGGGAGGAGCAGGGAGAAGAGGGAGAAGCAGGCTCCCCGCTGAGCAGGGAGCCCGAGGCGGGGCTCGATCCCAGGACCCCGGGATCACGACCTGAGCCGGAGGCAGATGCTTAACCGACTGAACCACCCAGGCGCCCCTGATCCCGTTTTCTTAAAAATATTTTATTTATTTGAGAGAGAGAGAGATAACATGAGCAGTGGGGAGAGGGAGAAGCAGGCTCCTGGCTGAGCAGGTAGCCCAATGTGGGACTTGATCCCAGAACCCTGGGATCATGACTTGAGCCGAAGGCAGACGCTTAACTGACTGAGCCACCCAGGCGCCCCTATGATCCCATTTATAAAAAAAAAGATTTATATGTACACATACACAAAGGCATTAAAAAGGTCAAGAGGTAATGTACCAGTAATTTTCCAGCAGAGAAGTCAATGAGACTCACTTTATATGCATCTTTATTTTTTAACCAATGAATATAAAACTTAGGTTTCATAGGACTTCTTTGTCATTCTCTGATGATTTTATGGATTTTCATACTTAATGGGAAGCCAGGCTTTGAGGCCTATAGTTTTGGGTTTTTTTGTTTTTAAAGATTTTATTTATTTGACAGAGCTAGACACAGCGAGAGAGGGAACACAAGCAGGAGGAGTGGGAGAGGGAGAAGCAGGCTTCCCGCTGAGCAGGGAGCCCGATGCGGGGCTCGATCCCAGGACCCCGGGATCATGACCTGAGCCCAAGGCAGGCACTTAACAACTGAGCCACCCAGGCGCCCCGAGGCCTATAGTTTTAAAAAGTATTTTACATCCCTATAAGCTAAGAGCAGCAAGGGAATACCCAGAGCTCCTAACTTCAACAGAAAACAAAACCCAACAGTGGCTTAGACAGCAGTGCAGCTAATGGCTCATTCACCTGCCACAAGACTGAGGCCTAATTTGATACTGATTACTACAAACGGCTACCAATGAAGCCATGTCCATGCAATGAGCCCGTCCTAGGTCAGGAGGGTAACCAGAGTTGCTCATATATTTCCCTGGTTCCTTCTTCCCAGGAGAGGTCGTAGATAGGACTGCTTTGATACCATTCATTCATTCATTTATTTATTTAAGATTTTATTTATTTATTTGACAGAGAGAGACACCTCGAGAGAGGCAACACAAGCAGGGGGAGTGGGAGAGGGAGAAGCAGGCCTCCCGCAGAGCAGGGAGCCCGAGGCAGGGCATGATCCCAGGACCCCGGGATCATGACCTGAGCCGAAGGCAGATGCTTCACCGACTGAGCCACCCAGGTGCCCCTGGAACTTATTTTTCAAATGAGTTTTGGAACGCCTTAAAATTTATTTTTTTAAAAGATTTTTAAATTTAT